GGAAAGTTAACATAAGAACTAAGTCCAAGTTTTTTATTTTTCCCACAAGGAGATGAGATTCTTTATGATTAGCTGAGAAATTTACGCAGTATATTAAGATCTTTGCCTGAACTGTCCTTTTAACTTATGGATCGAAATTCAGGCTTTTCCTCTTGTGTATTATGATCCTTATTTCAATTATAGGTTTAATTTAATAACCAAATATAGAATTCTGTATTTTCAGAACTCTTTGGAAAACACAATTTCCAATTACCTTAATTTTCTAGAAAATTCAGAGTTCCCAAAGCCAAATAAGAATATCATAAAATACAACCAACTACACTTAAAGTTTAAATTAAAAATATATAGGGAAAAAATTTTAAAAATATATAGGGAGATATATCAAAGTATATCACAATTTTTTCATTTTCTGAAAAATGAACCAAATTATTTTAACTTTACATCATTTTCAGAAGGTTAAAGTGGAAACTTTCACAGAATCCTACAATTTATATATTTTATCAGTTCTAATAGAACCAGTTCATCAGAATAAAACCATTTATAGTCCATGCATGAGCACACATGTCACATTTAGCTGCCACCATTTAGGGTTAGAGGAGAAACCCAATTCTTCCCTCGAATCAATTATGCCATGACCCAAATTCCTGACTCAGTATTCTACAGGAGATGCATTTCTTCCTTCAGAGTAAACCTTTAAATTTAAGGCAAACTGATATATCATCTGGCTTCAATTCTCCAACTATAATGCTTTTTTACATTTTTAAATGACATTTAATTAAAATATCCCACTTTTGAAAGAAACATTTTAGGTGGAAAATTATTTTTTAAATGATTTATTAGCCAAAGAAAAGAGTAGTTGCTACTTCCTCACACCCACCCCTGCCACCTCCAAAAAAAAGGTCAGCTTTTGCTCTTTAGTGACATGCTTAGAACAAAACTTCAGGCCAGTTCTTTTTGAGACTTTTCTTTGCCAGCTCAAAGTTAAACTGCTTCACAGGTTAAGACTTTCAGAAAAGTAAGGTAAAAGGAATAAAGAAGAAGGAAGGGAGAAAAGACAGAGGTGGAAGAAAGGAGGAGAGAGAGGAAGGAGAAAAGAATGAATTTGAAAAGAAGGAAAGAAAGAAGGAAGGGAGGAATAAAAGTAAAGAGGATGAGGGGGAAAAGCATAAAATTATTCATCTCAAAACAATGGGATTAATCTATTAAGTAATTCCAATACAGAGAGAGTTACCCTCTCTGTGGACAAAATTCAATAAACTATATTCTATAACAATAAGCAAAAGCAAGTATAATACATTTCAGACTTTTTACCATTTATAACCTCACTGTTTGTCGAAGGGCGTATTTCCAGTCAAATGACATCCTGATATCTCTGAATATTCCTTTTAATTTGATACATTTAAAATGTTTACTTTAAACCTTCCAATTTTTCCTAAATGTAAAAAGATCCCTTTATCTGAGATTATCTCATAAATTAAAACTGAGTTGCTTAAAGTGATTTGTATTTAAATTTCAACATCTATTTGCTGCTATCTACTGAATTAAAGCTTTTATTTAAGTACAGTAATAGCTGGACATGATAGCACACACCTATAATTTTAGCATTCAGGAGGCTGAGGGAGGAGGATCACAGCAAGTTCAAGGCCAGCCTGGGGTACACAGTGAGTTCAAGACCAGCCTGAATTACATAGCAAAAAAAAAAATCTATAAATAAATGAATGACAGTAATTGTCTCACGCCATTGCCCCTCCATAATTAGGCTTAGTCTAAGGAGAGGGGCTTTTCTGTTTTGATCTGTTTCCAATTGAAAGACTCTACAGTTAAGTGGAGGAGTGAGTGTGGCTGCAATGGCTTCACCTGGGAAAGCCTGACAGCACAGTTAATCGGTGGGAGGACACAGGAAGCCCTATTTTCTGGGGTGTGACCTCCAAGACTAGAAACCCAATGGGTGTTTGGGGGGCTTAATCTTTTCTTACTTTTGTTTGCAGCGCTGGGCCTCGAACCTAGGGACTTGCACATGCTGTGTAGGCTTCATCTTACACTAAGGCCATTTAGTGGAAGGCAATTTGCTGGCATCTCCGGGGACTGAGGAGACACCTAGCCACTTGGTAGCTGAGTACAGGAGCAAAACGGAGGCAGAGTCACTGTGGTTTGTTCCACTGCTCATTTTTCAAGGTAGCTTTTAGAAATTCCCTCACTGAGGTCCAAGAGTGGGACCAGGAAGAGGCCCTCGGTCTTGGGGCTCTTCGCAGGCCCCTGAGGGGGCTGGGGCTCAGGTTTTCCTTCAGTCCTTGCTAGTTCCAGCCTGCGCCCTGTACTGAGGGAGCCAAGGAAGAAAGAGCTGCATCTTCCCCACTGCGAGCGTCTCCTCCACCTCCCGCAAGGGCGGCTTTCCCAGGGTTGCTTTGTCAGGTGCTGCAGGACCTCAGCGTCCCAGGAGCCAGCAAAAGAAAACAGTTTCGGTCCACTCTGACGTTCCAGGTCCCAGCTTCAAGGCTGTTCACCTCCGTGGTTTAGCACGCATAGGGCAGCAGAGGGGCTCCCCGTACTGAGTGGTGGCCTGAGGGGAGGGGCATCAAAATAAGGGAATAGTAACACACAGAAAAGACCGGGGAGTCCGGCAGTGGCCACAGCCCAGCCGAGAGAGCGCTGTGGGCACACAGGGAAAATAACACCTCCGCCGATACCGCGAGAAACAGAGCGAGGAGATGGTGGCCGCTGACATCGAAGTCCCCTGGTGATAATGGCGGCTTGTTAGAGGCCAAGCCCAGGGAAGTTTTCCAGCTGAGTCCAGGAAACTGGTCTGAACATTCCATTCTCTGCGCAGGAAGCCAGGGAATTGCAAGCGGGAGCAGAAGGAATTTTCCAGAACTCACCACAAGGTGACGCCAGACATCCGTGGACATAATGAGGGGCTCCCATCCTAGTGGGCTCAAATTGTCCATGGGATCTAGTCAATGAGAGAGTCAAAGGAAATCGAGAGATCTGCACCCACAGAAAATCACCTAGCCAAAGGATACATTAGAGAACACAAAATATAACAAAAGATACCTTTTTTTTTTTTAAGAGATGGAGGCATGCACAGATACTGAAATCCCTCTTTATAGGAACCCAGACGAACTTTGCATGGAGTCTCTTGACAGGACAGACATAAGCAAGGGTGGCCACGCTGGAAGTGGAGTGAATGACCATGAGAGGCTGTTGCGGGGCTTGAGGTGGCAGGGGATGGTGGCTGGGGCCAGGGGCCAGGGATTGGGGATGAAGGAGAAAATGCCTCTGCCTGATTGGTACAATAAATAAATCAACAAACCCAACAAACTTAATTAGCGAGTAGAAATACTGTACATTGTATTCTATATAGAATATTTCATCTTTGGGAATTCACTTTGCCATCTTTGGCTCTTGTCGACATCATGATGGGTGGATGACTTCAAATTTATTCTGTCAACTGATGCCAGACAATATCCCCTGATGCTCACACTGTCCCACTGCTGGTTAATAGGAGGCCTTTTCAGGTTGGTTATGAATAATTTTGAATGAGCTATTTAAGATTTTGTTTTCTGATCCAATAAAGTTTAAATACTCTAGTTATCTTGTGTATTTCAGCCCGATAGGACACGGAATTAGCCATGGATCCAAGAACCTATGCCTTCTTTAGAAAAAAATAGTATTGCAACCCCAAATCTGGACATTAGGGTAAATAGAGAAGGGTGGCATTTCTTCTGGGCCATTTTAGTGGGGAAAAGCCAAAATATATTTAAAGTGTATAGAAGCCTAACTTCATATTAACTTATTTGACTCAGTTAACAGTACACAGTTCTTATTCACACTTTGGAGTCTACAGTTGACCCTTCTTTTCACTCATCCTGGAATCTAGGCTCCTAATACACAATGATTGGCTTTATCTGATACTTAGAAGAGTAACTTTTTAAAAAATCTGCTATTGCCTCGCAAGCACCAGGTCCCAAGTTCAATCCCTGGTATCCCCCCAAAAAACACTGAATAACAGTACAAACACTGAATAACATTTGTTTTAGACAGCATGCCCTTTCTGCTATTGCCTCGCAAGCACCAGGTCCCAAGTTCAATCCCTGGTATCCCCCCAAAAAACACTAACAGTACAAACACTGAATAACATTTGTTTTAGACAGCATGCCCCGCAGTATTTGTTGTCTAATTACTGTGCTCTAGAGTCATAATCTCATATCATGTGGCTAGGCAAAGACTTATCTGACAGTTTGGATTCAGATGCCTGCATTTACCTTGACTTGAGAAGGCTGCACAATCTGCCCCTTTTCATTTCTCCATAAGGCTTATAAGCTCCCAATATGCCAGACAGTTCACTTACTGATAATAATTTTTATTATTACATTATTAGTATTTTACCCCATTGGAACATCAGCCTCATGGAGCAAGGATTTGCTCATTGGACCCTGGTGTTGTTCCCTGAAGGCAGGATAAGAAAGCTGGACTTGGTTCTGAGGAAGCTCCGGGGTAGACAACAGCAAGAGCAAAGGGGACATCTTCACTGAAACAGCAGAAGCCACCTGGACCACTCCCCTCTGATACTTCCCCCAGTGCCCATGGGACACAATGACTATCTGTGAAAAGAAAGCCAGCATTCATGCTGAACCTGCTCCTGGGCCTCCTAACTGAACACCTGGAAGGTTTAAGCTTCCAGAAGAAGTTAGAGTTCTTCTGTAGCTTCTGACCAGACTCCTGGCTCACCTCAACAAGCCCCAGTTACAGCTGTTTATCACAAAATGTATTCTGTCCACTCATGAAAGTGTCCAAGCTTAAACAGACAGGAGACAGGGATAAATAAGCTGGAGAAGAACCTCCAGGAGACACAGAATTATCAGCAGTGGAGGAGGCAGCCCCTCTATCATCAGTGCTCAATGTCTGGTGCATGGTTGAGGACATGAGAAGACAACAGAAAAATTTAGAGAAAATTAAGTATCTACATAGGCCAGCAAAAATGAATAGACTCTTGGGGGAGATTCCAGAAGAGGGCTTTCTGGGCCTGGGCAGGCGACATAAAGAAATACCTTCAGGGAGAAGGGGCACAAAACAGGAAAGCACAAAAGTGATGACCCATATAGTAGCAGTACAGTCTTTTATTTTTGCAAACTGAACATATATTTCCAGTGCAAACGAAATTCACACAAAAAGGGGCAACCCATCACTTTCTAGTTCCTCTTCTGTCTCTCTTGGACAGAAGCTTTCCTCTTCTCAATAAATTTTTCCTACTCTTAACCTCAAAAAAAAAAAAAAAAGAAAAGGAATTCACACATAAAAAAATGTACGCAGAAACATACAAAATGGTACAATGGCAAGATCTTCAGCAATCTCCTAACCGGGGAGAGAGCCTGCCCTCTGTCCATAGAGACTCCACCTGGTGGAGCTGGGGTGGTCGGCCTCTGTCTCCAAGGAGGAAATACCTTGCTGAAGCAGTCAGCTCTCTCCACAGAAGGCTGGCTGAAAGGATCCAGGAAGCGGCCATGGAGACAAACCAACGCAGAAGCTCCTGAGTTGAGAGGGGTGGGGGCTTAAAAATGAGGTGCGGGCCTTGCTTATCAGTCTCTCATCCCTCAAGAAACTCCTCCCTCTGATCCTTCTTTGAAGGTGTCTCTTCTTCAGCTGATAGGAGGAGAAATGGGCAGGGCTTCTTCCAAAGCTGGGCTTGGGATAAGTAGCCCGGAAAGAGCAGAGGATCCCTGAGTGAGCTGTTTTAGGAAAAGAAGGTCCCTGTGGATTTCCTGTGGACAGGGGCCTCCAGAAAGCACCCAGCACCCTGGCCAGGAGAAGCAGATAAACAGCAAAGTTGGGGTTCTTGTACACTGAGGCTGCTGTCCACACATACACACACGCACGCACGCAGGCAGCCCATGACTGTGGACTCCCAGGGCGTGGCTGCAGCAGAGGACTCAGACTGCTCCGCCCTTGCCCCAGCTAGTACCCAGGGTCACCCCACTCTTCTCTCCAAAGGTATCCTTGCGTTCGTGGTATAGTGGTGAGCATAGCTGCTTTCCAAAGGTACCCTTTCACCCTTCTGGAATCAAGACTGACAACGTAACTAAATCCCTGGCAACCACTTTCTTCCTGGAACCAAAAGGATTATGCGGTAAAATCCCCTTTCATTTCAACTCTGCCCTTTAGCAACTCCACAGGACAAAGGGGCACAAGTCTTGCACCTTGCTGATGTCCTTCTGTGCTCCTATTGTGTTGCACACTTTTACCTTCTGACCTCAGAGTACACACACGACCCACGGCCCATGGTGTTCCACGGCTCAGTGTTCATACACACCTCCCAGTGGGGCTGGGTCTTCATCCTGGTCAAATGCCATGGAGTTGTTAAGCGCCACCATCTGGGCTTAAAGCCCATCTAGGCATTGGGCTTAAAGCGGAACCAGCACTTGCTCCCATCCTCCCTTTCCGCTTCAGGGCGGCCCTTGATCACTCTCATTACACATTTGCATCCTGCTCTCCAGAGGAGCTGAGTCTGTCGCAGTGACCAGAGATGCCAGCTTCTCCTCCGGATGAATGCGCACACGCAACCGGAGACAGAGGGCATCTGACAGGTGTGTCATTAATCCCCATTATGGATGAGAAAACTGAGGCACAGAGGGATTAAGTCTCTCTCCCCAGAGACATTCGTATGTGAAACAGCAGAGGTCATACCACCTGACCCCTGGTCAGCGCTCTGCAGCCGTAACTCTCTGCCCCTGATGGTCGCTTCGAGGCACGGACAGGCAGGCAGGCAGGCAGGTGCTCCTTGAGTCTCCCATCCTCTGTTCATGAAGGAAAGAAACACTGCCCCTTTTCGAGTCCTGTATCCTGAGATCAAGTTGTCAGCTCCTGACAGCTGGGCCCTTTCCAAAGGCTACTAGATCCATGCCTGGAAGAGCTCCTCAGAAGATGGCACCGCCAGGGCACAGGAATCCACCTCTTCCCTTCTACAGCTGATTAACTTCTGCGGTGAGTTGGTTATTTTCTGAAATTAATTTTCACCAACAATCATTAGTTGTTACTAGCAGTAATAGTAGTGGTTGTTAAGACTATCACACAAATCCCAACTATTTATTTATTCAATTAACTTTCAAAAAAACATTTCCAATATCTAGGTCAGTGACTTCCAGCATTTGTGAGATCTCCCAGCTCCCTGCTCAGCAATTCCCTCTCTGGGAATCTGCCCCACAAAGCCCAGAACAAATTCTGGTCAAAAAACAAAAATAAACCTGCCCTTCTATTAGAGAGCTCTGAGAAGAGTGACCTGTTCTGGAAAAGACGGTACCAAGAAGGGCTCACTGGTGAGTGTCAGTGGCCACCCTCCATCTGTCTCCTGCCATTGGTCCAGTCAAACTCTCCAGACACTGGCTGCCTTAAATCTGCAGTGATTATGTTTATTTTTCAATTCTAGAGCAGCTCTGTCCAAATGCAACATAATGGGAACTACATATATAGTTTTTTAAATCTAGTAGCACAGTTTAAAAAGTAAAAGAAGCCAAGCATAGTGGCACATGTCTGTAATCCCAGCACTATGGAAGGCTAAGGCAGGAGGATCGCCAGTTATAGCCCAGCCTGCCCAATTTAGTGACTCTGAAAGACCCTGTCTGAAAAATTAAAGGGCTGGGAATATAGTTCAGTACAAACTCCCCCAGAACAAAAAAAAAGTAAAAGAATTAATTATATTTATTTTGTTTGACAAATAAATCCAAAATATCACATTTGCATGCAATTCAAAAAAATTACTGAAAGAGATCAAATATGTGGTACTATCTTCAAAATCTGTCATTTTCAAAATCTGTTTATATTTACAACACATCTTGACACACATTTCACCTGTTTAATAGCCACATTATGATTAGTGGCTACCATATGGTACAGCACAGTTCCAGAACATGAAAGATAAACAAGCAGCATCACTTCAGAAGACATAATGCTGTTGCACAGGTTAGAATTCACTTTCAAATGAGGCCCATATATATATAGATATAGATATAGATACAGATAGATATAGATATAGATTTGGGGGGGTACCAGGGATCAAACTCGGGCCCTTGCATTTGCAAAGCAGGTGCCAGAACCACTGAGCCAAATCTCCAGCCCAAGGGTCAGATAATTTTTTTTAAATGTAAGTTAGTTTTCTTTTTTATTAGTGAACATTAGTAGGTTTCACTTTGGTGATGAATCAGTTTTCAATATTCAAAAGTCGAGAGATTTCCCAAAAAGATCTGGATTTCTGGGGCCAAGGATTTAGCTTAGTGGTTCCACTGCCTGCCTTGCAAGAGCAAGGACCAGAGCTCAATCTTCAGTACTAAAAAAAAAAGTCTGGATTTCTGGGTTTATTGTTTAAAACTGGAAGCATCACTGGCTCACATTCCCTCTTGGTCACCAACTGCTGGAACTGGGAGCTGCTGCCTCCTTTAGATGGAAATGTTCACCCTGGGCACTGTCACATCTCCCCGTTGAGTTGCATTCATTGTGTAAACATTTCTTTTCTTTTTTTCCAGTACCTATCTGGCCCTCAAGCCAGAGCTCACAAAACCTACTTTCTGTGAACCCTATCAGGCCATACTTGGGATGGTCCACTAAAGAATTACCACCTGGGGCCACCGTTACTCCTGCTAGCTACCTTAGAGTAGAATACAGACAGAAAAAAGAAGAATAAAATCAGTCACAGAGAGAAAAAGGAAGACCCTTTAGCACTAAAGTCCCTTTCTATCCCTGGAGCAATTATGGATGAAAGAAGAAAAAAATATTTTTAAATAGAGATGAAATTAATATAATTTTCTTGGCATATATAGTCTTACTGCAGACTATGACTTGGTGCTATAAACTTCAATGGAAAGAAAATCTTAATAGTACATTTCAGAGTACATCCATGACCAGCTATAAAATAGAAGCAGACATGTAATGTTTCAGCCATAGAGGTAAATTAAACACAATCTTGCTAGGACTTGGTGAAGAATTGCCAAGGTTTTCTGACTGGTAATTTTCCATGGTCTAATATATGGGGAAAAAAGAGCTAATGACCTGCCTCAGCCAGGAGTGTTCTACTGCTGTAATAACTTCGGGTTAGTTCAGCGATCCCTATTTCACTGCGGGTTTCTACTTCTACTATGACAGAGGAGCACAAAACAGATTGACCTTCCTCAAATAACAGCTCTTAGGGTTGGGGATGTGGGCTCAGTGGCACTGTGCCTGCCTCACAAGCACAAGGTCCTGAATTCAATTCCTAGTACCAGAAAAAAAAAAAATCAACTTTTAAAGCTGATCAGATTCCTTAAGTCACTGAAGAGCAAACAAAAATTGACATTTGGAAAAAGGGAATGTAACTGAGTGATTGCCCCCTCCCCCTTTTTTTAACAGCTCCTTGCCAAGTGGGACCTGCCACACTTGGTACTGTGAAGAGTATCAGTCTTATGGTCCTGAAGAGTGAAAACAGAGATTTGGGCAAACATAGAAGTTAGAACGTGGAGAGGACAAATCCCCAAAGGGGGAGAGCTAGAATAGGTGTGCTACACATTTTACATACAAGTGCTATCCTTCCTGAACTGTGTGCTGGAAGGTGTGGGCCAAACCCCAAATAATCCAGCTAAGGCCACACAGGTTAACAGACACCAACTGCCTTTTGCCTAGGAGAGTAAGGTTTGGAAATTACATTCATCCATTTTAGTTGCTTACTAAAACAATAAGCAAACAAAAACCAATAGTCTTCAGTGAAATATAATAGAATCTAAAATCTCTACAACATATTATTCACCATATCCAGATTCAAAATCATTAGACATTAAAAAAAAAAAAGGAGGGCTGCCTGCCTCACAAGTGTTAAGTTCCTGAGTTTGTTCCCCAGTACAAAAAAAAAAAAAAAAAAGGAAATGTGACTCATGCCAAATAAAATGCAATAAACAGAGACCAATCTTGAGATGGCCACCTAATGAAAATACCAAAAATTTATCAAAATTTTTTAAAGTAGTCCAAGTATTATAACTAGAGGAAAATATTTTCCTAACAAATAAGTAAATAAAAATATCTGCAGAGAACATTTGTTATAAAAAGAGCCTAATGGAGATTCTAGAATTGAATAAAAAATATTAAAGTTTTAAAAATTCATCCGACGTGCCTAATATCAGATTGGTGATAACAACGGTCAGTGAAAAAGTGGATAGGCTAAAAAAGTTACTCAACTGTAGAACAGAGAAATAGTTTTCTCTATAAAACTAAATAGAGTCTCATAACTGTTTCTAAAGGTCTACCATATATCAAATTGGAGTCACAGCAAGAGAGAAGAAAACAGAAAAACTATCAGAAGATATATGGCTGAAAATGTCCCAAACTACAGTGAAAAAATTCAAGAAATTCAATAAACTACAAGCAATATAAACATAGAATAAATAACACGGAGTCATATTATAGTATAACTGATGAAAACCAATGGTAATTTGAAAGCAATAAGAAAAAAAGAGTGTACAGTAAGTCCCTACTTACAAACATTGGAGTTATACATTTTTACAACTACAAATGAACTTATGTGAGGGAAATTCATAGATTGCCAACAAATTGCGGAAGTAGCTCATATTTCTTTTTTTTTTCTTTTTATTGAATTTATTGGTACAATCTAGGTATACAGTACAGTTACATTCATCACTAGGATCCTGTACCTTCACATGACGGTTCTTGGTTCTCATTTTTCCCCTTGTCCCTGTCCTCCCTTCCACCCCCTCCTCCCCTCCCCATTTACAAACTCTTTATTTCCATTTTTTCATTTTCTCATATTTTTTCTTTTCCCTTATTTCCTTCCCGCTACCCTTCCCACTTTCCCTACACCTTTGGCCCTTTTCTTCCTATTTCACACTCTTAATTATCCCATTAGGATCTTGTGTACTATTATAGTTTTTCACACCAGAGAAACTATTCGGTATTTACACATGTGTGAGTAGCTCATATTTCTGTCAGACATCGTCACAGTTGTGCTGCTATGTGCTTACTGTACAATGCGATAACATATAGTAGTACAGAACCATCAGGGGCTTACTGGACTTATGTGCATTTGGTTTTTATATGCTTTACATTGTAGATTTATGTCAAAGGTGTATAAGACTCACTTTGTTGGCCTTACAAACAAATCTGATCTGTGAACGTTCTCTTGGAATAGAATTCATTCATAAGTCAGGAACTTATTGTATTTTATAGAAGGGAACAATATTAGAAACAATAGCTATTATCAGAAATAATGTGGACCAGAAGATAATTCAACAACAGTTCTAAAGTAGTAGGAAAAAAATATTGTCAACCAAGAATTCAGAAAAAATCCTTCAAGAATTAAGACAAAATAATAGCCTTTTGAATCCAGGGATTTAGCTCAGTGGTTCTGCCGCCTGCCTTGCAAGCACAAGGACCCAAGTTTGATCCCCGGTACCAAAAACATAATAATAGCCTTTTTAGACTAGAATTTGCCACCACTGAATCTACAGTAGCAAACCTGTGAAGTTTTCCAAACTGAAGGAAGCCATACTAACTCGAAATACAGATCTCAAGAGAGAAAAAAGAATGTCAAAGATGGTAAATATAGGGGTAAGTGTAGATGATTATTTTATCTTTTTAAAATGCGAATACTTAAAGAAAAAAGTAATTTCATGCTCTTACATTTCATATAGTGATACAATTTTAATTCTAAGAAGATTGTAAAATCTCCTTAATAACATGTATGTTATAATCCACACAGTGATTATGAGAAAATGTGAAGGATAACCAGAAAGTCAATGGGTGCAGAGAAATTCTAATATTCTATGTTTACTTAACCCAAAAAGAGACAGAAAATAATAAAACAGAAAAAGCAGGAAAAAAAGCAAAAAATGAAATTACTGACTTAAGGGGAGGTTTGAGGTGAAAAGGAGGGCAGGGATATGGGGTAAAAATGAGAACCAAGATCTGTCATGTAAAGTTATAAGATCCCAATGATGAATGTAACTGTACTGTATACTTAAAAATAAGTGCCAATAAACTCAACTTTTAAAAAAAGAAATTATGGACTTATATGCAACCATATCAATCATTATAGTAAATGTTAATGAACTAAACATACCAATTAAAATGGCAGAGATTATCAGAATTGATATATACCAAAAGAGTTAAAAATAGAGAAGTAGACCATTTGTTATCTATAAGGGACATAAGAGAGATTTAAGGTAAAAATATGTTTTTAAATGGTATACCTCAAAACAGTAAACAAAAAAGGAAATATATTTTATAGCAATAAAGAATATTGCCAGAGATGAAGAGCAACATATTACAATGCTGCAAGTTACTCAAGAAGGCATAAATAATAAATGCACTTAAAAGAAAGCCTCAAAATACATTAAGGAAAAACTGACAAAAAGGAAGAAACATAGGCACATCCACATGCATAGTTGGGATTTTGATGTCCTTCTTGCAATAATTAGTAGAACTACTATACAAAAAAATCAGGACAAAGAGTCAATGACAAACATAGGTCAATATGCCAGAAGTGATAAAAAATGTAGTGATTTTTAAAAACCTTATTACTGTAAAAGACACACTGCCAAGAATGATAGGATAAGTATGTTTGAAGTGAGAAGAACTATTATGAGGATGATTAGAGGCAACATATCTTTTACTGTAATAATTTTTTTTTATTTAAACATTTACCATATGTTTTGACTACCACTCAGCATGTAAATCCTTAGAGCAATCCTGGTACTCAGCTCTATACTAGGGTCAGTTAAAGTTCTGACTACCTGGAGAACTCAGGCGAGAAGAAGAGCAGGCATTAAGATAGCAGGATGGGCAAACATCTGGAGACCTGGACTGGAGGGAGAATTATTCTTCTGTGTAGAGAAAGAAAGCAGAACCATGCAGGTGACACAAGAGTGACTTTCCAGTGAATTCCAGGAGTGCACAGCTGCAATTCTGGCTGAAGCTAACTGCTGTCTCCCTAAGGGTAAGAAACCCATGGGGATGACAGGGATGGAGGGGGTTGTTTTTGTTTCTGTTTGATTTTGCTGTTGCTTTGTTTCATTTGTGCTGCTCTCTGTGGTTGAGGGCAAGAGGACCATTTGAGAGGCAGGCAGATTTAAAGTATAAATCTGCTACAGTCTGCATTTGCTCTTCTGCAACAGACTAGGCCCACTCAGACTTGTGGTCCCTCGTTCTCAGGAGAAAGATAAGAATCCTGCTCTTACCTAGGTAATGTGGCTTACGCCTGTAATCCCAGCACTTTGGGGGCTGAGACAAGAGGATCGCTGTGAGTTCAAGGCCAGACCAGACTACATAGTGAATTCAAGGCAAGCCTGAAGTACATAATGAGACCCTGTCTCAAGAAAACAGCAACAAAAATCCTGTGCTTAGCCAGGCATGGTGGTGCACGCTTATAATCCCAGCACTGAAGGCTGAGGCAGGAAGATCACAAGTTGGAGCCCAGAGCCTTGGCAATTTAGCAAGACTGTCTCAAAATAAAAAATAAAAGAAGGGCTCAGTATGAAGGCCTTAGGTTATATTGTCAGAACTGCAAAACAAAACAAAACAGAATTGTGGGCTTGTAGGGAACTGGGAATATCGGTGGGAGCCCTCAGTCTTCAGAAGTCACTTTAAAAGTCCATATTGCTGTCCCCTCACCACATCCAGCCCTACCAAAGCCAAAACATAATCCATGCTTCCCACATGCACATGCATGTTCTTTGCCATGAAAACCATATTCTTGGTACACAAATCAAACATGTGGTATCCAAATATGCTATTCCATGTTGCAGCTGTTACAATTATGGGATGGGGCCAAGAATGCTCAGCAGAACATTATGCATAAGTCCTGACTTTTTGATCATGACATGTCCCGGGGAAAACCAGAGATGGCCTGCCAGGAGCCTCAGGGAGGTTCCCCACGACCTGGAAAAGGGAGGTCTCTCCTAACTTCTCTCATTAGAAGTTGCTGCAGTTTGAGTGTTTCCCCAGAAGCAGGTGTTGGAAACTGAACCACCAGTGCAACTGTGTTGAGATGGGACCTTTGAGAGGTGAGCAGGCCATGCAAGCTCTGTCTTCATTAATGGATTAATACAGAGCATAGAAGGCTCTGAGGCTGCGAGTTTGATATCATGCTCTCTCACAAACAAGTTGCAAGAAAGTCCTCACCAATCTCAGGCTTCCTGGCATCTGCAACAGCAACCTAAATGAATCTTTATCATTTATGGTATTATTCTGTTTCAGCAGCACAAATGGACTAAGACAAAAGTCTTATAAATATTCTCTTCCCATGTCTGCAAATCCCCACAAACCCACAGAATTGTGCCCGTGCCCAACTAAGGCCCCAGGTACACCTGGTCAGTATCATGCTGAAAGGAAAGAGACATGGTATTACCAAAGTGTCTGGGAGGACCACCATGGGGCAACAGGAGTACTGGAGCAGCTGGCCCATCTTCCAGATGGACAGTGGCACAACCACGAGGATCAGCATGAAGCCAACGAAGGCAAACAGGGCCAGCACCAGGGGAAGAGCCTCTCCTGGAGACAAAACAGCAAGCACAGGCTTAGGAACAGCTGTGAAGGGAAAACTGCCCACTGTGGACCTCTTCTGATTCCCTGGAGTTGGCTCTGAATATTGGCCAAGACAACAGATGCCAGCATCCTGAGATTAGATGTGCGCCCCAGTGACTAAAGTGATCACCATTTTCTTAGAATCTAGATTAAGGGATAGTTCCACAAAGTCCCAGGGAAGATTAAGATCATTTTCTTGGGAAAGGGAAGGGAGGAGCATCATATGTGAAAGTACCAGCCTTGTTAGCACGCACCTGGCCCTGCTGCCAAGGGAAGGCTGGGGCAGGGACCAGGCCCGGGGCAGGATGCGGGGAGGGTGCTGAAGCACAATAGCACAGAAGCGGGCTGGGTGGTAACTGAAAACAAAGCATTTTACAGCTTGCTCTTGGCACGGAGTCATATTATGGAGGAAAATACCGAGTCCAGAAAACAGTTGCCTAACAACTGTGCTATATCAAGCCCCTATCCAGACACTAGGGCTACTGCCTCCTTCCAGCTCTGTGCCAGGGCTGGACATGTGAGACCCTGTTTCCACAACCAGTGTGAGTACCCCTGCTTTTACACAAGAGACAGATGATGGCTGGATGATTAGCACCAAACTTACCAAAAGAAACCTCCTAAGTGCTGTTAAGGAAGAAAGGAAAATATCAACTCTTACTTTTTTATACATCTGTATTATTTAAATTTTTAAGCAAGTTTGATGTGATTTTAAAAACTAGTATGGGGTCAGGGATTTAGCTCAGTGGTGCCATTGCTGCCACCTGCCTTGCAAACACAAGGTCCCCAGTTTGATCCCTGGTACCAAAAAAAAAAAAAAAAGGTGGTCAGAAAATCTGCATGGAAAATGTCATGGCCATGATATTTGTGAAAAAACATGAACAATGCTTATATGCTTTAGTACTACAGCACATGTCTACACACAGGCCGTGACTAAAGAATTACATTCTTTGAGAGGGCAATTTGGAAACAGTAATCAAAATTAAATGCCCAGGCCTGTGAGCAAGCCACTCCATCTCCCAGAATTTATTCTTCAAATACATATATACACCAGCAAAATGGTCTTTGTACAAGGGAATTAATTTACTGCATTGTCTAATTTACTGCATTGTGTAATGACAAAATATTTAGAAAAAAACCTAAATCCTATCAACAGGGGACTAATTGCCTTAATCATAATGCACATACACAATGGAATAATATGCAGCAAAAAGGATGAAGGAGTTTTCTCTAAAAGATACATAAAATGAAAAAGACAAGATTAGGAAAAATCCATAGGGTATTCTACAATTTATACTAGAAAGAAGAAGACATAAGAAGAAGACATATTAAATATATACATA